ATATAAAATCCAAAAAGCACATATGGGTATACTGAGAAGTCACTTCCCTATCCCTGTCTCCCAGCGACCCAGTTCTTTTCCTCAAAGACGTCTAACCTAGTATCTTGTGTACACTGCCAAAGATATTCTATACACGCCAGCAATTACATATAATTTTTCCTTTCCTTTTTTTACATAAATGGTAGCATAAAATCCACATGTTCTGCATCTCCCTCTTTTCGCTTAATACTATATTTGGGAGATCTCATATCAGCACATAAAGAAACTTCAATAGACTCCCACAGACAGGCATCCAGTAATACATAATAGCCTCTGATCTCTAGCTATCATAAACAATGCTGCAATGTACTTATGTTATCTGACACATATGCAAATTTATCTGTAGAATAAATTTCCACAAGTAGTTGTTTCAAAATAGCACAAGATGTACACTAGTCATTAACATAACTGAAAATGTTAAAAATGCTTATTTATTTAGAAACGATACTTGGGTAATTACATGTTGCAGAAGATGGCAAAGTTCTGCAGAGAGTTAGAGCTGTGGACAGGCAGGGAAGGAAATGAGAGAAGACATGACCATCTTCTCCAGGAGGCCTATCAGGACGAGTTACAGGCAGATATGTTCAAAAAGGACCCTCCAACTGGGGTTTGGAAGCCCAAGTATGGTAGAATCTCTGATAAAAATCTCACCTTTGTACTAAAATATTGTTCTCCAAAGAGGACTGCTAGGACTATTAAGACTCTTCACGTAGCCACTACAGAAAGACATACTTTTATGTCCCAAATAATGATAGCCCTTTTATCATGCTTTTAGAGAATAACACATAGGCCTTTGTCTACTGAAACGTTTTGAAAGTGCTCATCCTGGAGCATCTCAGTGGTATTTGGATAGTATTCAGGTGTACAAATCCACAAAATTATATCAGTTCCTTGAGACAAAGCATCTTACTCTTCATGAAAGACCTGGAATGAATCATAGAATCTAAAATTTGGAAAGGACATTTAATGGCATCCTCATTTATTGGGAGGAAGATGACATGAAGCAACTTCTGAGTTAAAGTAACCTCTTGAGAGATCTAAAGTCCAGAAGGAACTGGGGGTCCATTGGGATTAGGGTCCCAAATCCCATTCCTGGTTTCGCCCACGGGCTGCATGACAAGAATTTTCTATGTTATCTCATTTAATCTTCCTAACAATGCCACGAAACATCATTGTCCCCGTGTTGCAGACCCTTACTGGAAGCTCAAGCTCAGAGAGGCAAAGGGAACCGCCTGTGGTCACAGAGTGAGGAAGTGGTGGAGCCTGAATTCAAATGCTGGCCCGACGCCAAGCCCACGTTCTTCCTACTTTCCATGCTCCTTCTGTTCCGCCTCCACTAAGGAAAGCAGCATTTCTTTCTATACTTTTTCTGGTGGGGGGTGGGAAGATAATGAAAGATTCTTTCATGAATCTCATGAAAGAGATTCATGACACCAGCACTGAGATCTCGAGACCCACACACCCAAGAAATCCACTCACAGGCTCTGCGAAAGCATTGTCCCAGAGAACGGTGGCCGTCGCGTTGTTGTCCTGGCTGCCGTGCACGATCACCACCACTGGGAGAGACAGGGTCTAAAAAGACACAGTTGAGGAGCTGAGTGCCCAGGAGCCTCAAGTTCTTCTCCTTCTCTTCTTTTGTTCTTATAATCACAACAGTTTCCTTTTTTAAAGTTTCAGATAATGTCACTCTCAGACACAGAGTCTGAATGATTCCAGGAACAATATGACTTTTCACATTGGCACAATCTAGAAATTTTAGGTATTTAACAAGCCATGCTGCTGAAGGATGAAGTTTCTCAAAGTTGCACGGAGAACAAGAGAGAGAAAAGAGAAAGAGCATGGAGACATTTCTTGGGAAAAAAGGCAAGTCACCAATGTTTAAAACGTACAGCGACGTTGACTCAGATTCATCCTGAGCCATGTCTCTCGTGATCCGTTGTTTCCTTATCCTGCTGGCTATTTCAGTTCATTATTGTTCACATCTTAAAAGAATCTAAGAGCTACAGTTCTAAGAATGAGGTCACCCCGTCTTCTGTTTGTCGATCAAAAAGAAGACGCTACATAATAAAAACAGTTCTTTTGTGATATGAGGTACACACGTACTACACACACACACACACACACACACACACACACACACACGCAGCGCAGGGAGGGCTTTACCTTGACTTGAAACACCAGTTCATTTCCACCAACACTGAACTGTGATTCGAACAGGATTGTAAATTTTTCTTCTGTCACCGACTCTGCCCCACGACGGTCAGACCTCTTAATTCGTTTCAGGGACTGCGAAGGAGAGACATAAGATGAAACATAAAATGAGAGTCATTCCCCTCAAAGACCCAGGGAAACGTCATTCCTCTTCGCCTCCCAGCCTCACCATGTTCCTGAAGTGGGCGCTGAGGGTGCCCATGGCTTGGTGATACTCCATGACACAGCAGTTGTTCAAGATCTCACCGCTGTAATCACTGTAATCAGAGAAACAACATCTCTAAACTCACGCCAGGGTCTCTGCACGTGCAGGGGAAAGAGTATATTTGGGGTAGGAGGAAATGAAGTTTGCCAAAAGTGTAGGTCATTTAGAGGAAGCGTTAGCTATGCATAAAATATACAGGTGATTTTCTTGGATGTATGCCTGGTAAATGAAATGAAATCATATGATCTTCACAGAAGACAGTTCATAGGAGAAGCTCCTCATATCCTTTCTCTGAGATCCAGAGAGGTTAGAAGGGCTAACGTAGGAGGCAGAAGGACTTTCTTCCTCCCACAAGGACACAAGGAAAGTGCAGGGAGTGAGAAGGGGCACATTACTTGCGGGTGTTCTCGTTCTTGAGCAGGGACTTGGCCTGCTGCTCGCTGATGATGGTGGCCTTCACCTGCGGGGGGTTCATGTGCACATTCAGCTTCCCGCCCACGAGCAGGCGCACGGTGGCGGCGAACTTGGTCTGGGTCTTCAGGACCTGAGGGGGCTGCTTCTCGATGATGAACGTGCTGCGGGGACACAGTGACCACATGGACCGTGAGACGCTGGTTCAGGGAAAGGGCTCCAGGGCTCTCTGTGTGTTGGGGGCGGGGGCTGCCTCCCACGGGCTCAGCAAGTGAAGGAACAGCACGTGGCACAGCGCTGCTCCCTGGGAGGCAGGACATGGTGGGGAGGGGGAGGCACAGGGACTCAGCAGCTGGCAGGGGCTGCAGGGCCTGAGGGGACCTCTTGTAGTGTCCACAATACACACTGGGCAAGGGTGGCGCCAGAAGCCACAGCAACTGGAGAAGGAGCGGGCAGGGGCGCGAGGCAGAGAGGCAGGAGGGAAGCAGAGCTCCTGGTCCGGAAAGCCCTGCTGCCCCCACACCCCCTAACCGCCGCTACGGGAGCTGGCCCTGCCCTGCTGGGTGTGGCCGAGAGGCAGCAGTCACCTGGTCACCAGGGCTGAGATGATGTCTGTGATGGTGGCATTGACCTCGGCCAGCATCTCCTCCACTGGCCCGGGGATGGGCAGCTGCTGGCAGAGGTGCTCAGCCCTGCGGATCTGCTGCCGGTTCTGCCAGATGATCTCGGCTAACTTCTCACACCTGCACGGGAGCCGCAAGGCCAGCAGGAGGACGATGGCTTCTCCTCCAGACCCCAGGCCGGGAGCCTGGGAGGCTCCCGGCCTGGGCAGAAGCCCCAAGACACAGCTCCACCCTCACCCAGCACTAGGTGTTGTGCTTTTCCCGCGCCTCCTACCCACTGGCGCAGAGCAGAGCTCCCTGCCTTCCAGAAGTGCAGAGAAATACACAGAAGGGTGACCCTGACTTAAGTCCAACCAGCTCGAGCCACACTCTGCACACGCCAGCCCTGCCCCGTTCCCCAGGACAGTGACTCCCCTCCTGGGGGAGGTGGCACTGATGGGGGACCAAGGTCTGTATCAGGAACCAGGCCCAATGGTGAAATAAGAGCCGTCACAAGGCAGAGGGGGCCTGCTGCACGTGCCAGCGCAGCAGGAGGAAGCAGCTGGTGCTACCCCCCCGCCCCTGCCCCACGAGCCCCCGCCCCGTGCCCATTACCAGGACTGCAGCACGTCCAGGCTGCCCTCGGGGGGCCCGCCGTTCCCGGCCAGCTGCTGCCGCCGCTTCCACTGGATCAGCTCGTCGTCCAGAATGATGGTCTGCTGCTTCCGCAGCAGCTGTAGGGTCTTCTGGTGCTTCTCGGCCAGCTCCTGCAGACAGGTGGGGACAGCAGGCTCTGCTGGGCTCCCTCAGACAACTCTGCAGGGCCCGGGGCCCAGGCCTCCCCTGACCTGCTCCCCCTCACATGCCCCCCAGGAAACACGGATCTGGACCCCTGCTCTCCTGGGTCCCGCTCTTGTCCTGGCTCTGTCCCTCTGTCGGGTCCCCAGAGACTCAGGACGGGGCGCTCTGTGCCTGGGAGGAGGGACCGGCAGCCCACTCACCACGCGGTACTGCTGCAGCGTCTGGGCCTCGCGCTGCAGCCAGGCCTCCAGGGACACCTGCTTCTGCTGGAGGGCCGTCTCCCGGCTCAGACGCTCCTGGGGGCTCAGCTGGGCCAGCTGGGCAAACTGGGCTAGAGGACGAGACAGGACACCACGGCCGTCATCTCCCAGCGTCCGGCAGGAGCCCCGAGGAGCCCACTCACCTGTTCTGGGGCAGGACTCT